CCAGCACCTTATGTGACGTACCTAAATAAGGACCCCTCCGCTCCATGCTCTCTGACTGATGCTCTAGATCACTTCCAAGTGGAGAGCCTGGATGAAATCATTCCAAACGACCTGAGGAAGAGTGACCAACCCCCTCAACACACGCCTCGCAACATCACTGTGGTTGCTGTGGAAGGCTGCCACTCATTTGTCATCGTGGACTGGGACAAAGCCACCCCAGGAGATGTTGTGACAGGTGTGTTACAGAGAGATGCTCTGTGTTCCCATTTATCTGTAGGTGGGAAACACAATAAGGGATGATTGATAAGTGGCTAGATGGATGCATACATTGATGAGTGGATGAATGGATAGATTAGTGGATGGATGGGTGGACACAAGTGTCTTCTTTCAACTGAAATTTAGGCAACCAGGGAGGCTTTGTGGGGTAGTGAAAAGAGCACTGGATGGAAATCAGAAACCTGAATCCTAGTCCTGAGTGGTTTCTGTGACCTTGAGCTAACTACTTCATCTTTCCTTACATGTCAAATAGACACGTGCAGGCTCAGATCCCATGGTAAGAGTGATGAAAGGGCCTCCAGTGTCAGCGTCAACCCAGGATTGGGACTCAGCCCCCTCCTCTTTTCCCGTGCCTACTGATTGCGAAACCAGTCTGGGAGCTTCTGAATTCTGTGTGTGGGAAGTGAATGTGACAGGCCAGGACCTAGTGCATACATGCAGTAGCTCCAGATTCTTGGGCCTTGTCCTGTCACATTCACCTCCCACACACAGAAGTCAGAAGCACCCAGTGGCTTTGTGAATTCCTCTGACTCTGGAGGTCTGGAGTCAGATGAATCCGCCAAGGATATGTTTGAAGATGTTGCTGATGCTAGTTACTGTTGAGTCAACCCCGACTCACAGCAACCCCCGTGTGTGTAAAGTGGAACTGCCTTGTGGGATTTTCCAGGCTGTGACTTCTTAGAAGCAGATCACCAGGCCTGCTTCCTGAGGAGCCTCTGCATGGGTTTCAACTACCAACTTTTTTTTTTTTAATTGTGATTTGGGTGTAAGTTTACAGAGCAAATTCACTTTCCATACAGCAGCTCACTTTGTCTTATAACATTGACTACAGTTTATCATAATGCAACAGCTCCCTCCCATCCTACATCCTCCCCCTAGTTACTTCTTCCCTGTGTCCTTCCCTCCATGCACTCCTGCCCCCTGAACTGTCTCCCTGTGCA